CTCCTTAACATATTATTCCCTTTTCTAAAGTTGTTTGAACGTTATGTAAAATAGTTGGATGGTGTTTTTTATATAGATTTTCTTCATATGAGCAAAGTTCTAAACTTCATTTGCTTTAAAGAAATTGCCTTACAATAATTACTTAGCAGGATGAACTGTGAGAGTGGACTAGGAGTCATGATCGAAAATATTTGTAAAGTTGGGATCTGAAAGTTCAGAACATATGGGGTTCAATAGAAAACTGAATATCTGATAATTTTCTACAAGTTCAGTAGTCAAATATTACGGCTATAGAAAATTGATATTCTTTTGTGTGTTTGCTTGAGTCTGAAGCATTAAAGCAAGCCCCTGCTTTTCATGTCTATGAGACTACATGAGTGCACCTTGTTATAATTACATGTTACATTTGTCAGGGTTTAAGTGCTACGCTTAAGAGTACTGAGGGTGTATTGAAACTATGATGCATCCAGTTTTGTGGAAGTGCCTGTCACGTGAATTGTAGATTTATTTAATAATTGTGTAAAGTTTCTTTGGCCCCATGTTTATTCATTACTTGTCTTTACTTACATTTTAGCCCAGAATACACTACCATAAATTATTTCATAATGTTTTAATAATTTTATAAAGGCCTATGTTTTGAAGAAATAAATTATTGGGTTAAGAATAAGTATAGTATGGCTTACAAACCACCCTACAAGTACCACATTCCCCCAGTTTCAGCTCTGCCCACGCGATGCAGGATTCCGGCGGTATTGAGATATTTGGTCTTCAGCCTCTGCGCATGCGTATTGAGATATTTAGTGCTCTCTTGGGCGTTGAGTTTGTCCGCCAGGTATTGAGATGGTTTTCTTCAGGCTCTGCCCCGCGATGATAGATCTTGCCGGTATTGAGATGTTTTCCCAGCTCTGCTTGTGTGGATGCCCACCAGGTATCGAGATTTTTCCCCAGGGTACTAGTTGTGGTAGAACCTTTAGTATCAGTTTACGCTTCGAAACAGGATATCAGTTTAAAGTTTTCAGATACCAGCCTACAGTTTCAGTATCAGTTATAGTCTTCAGTTTTCAGTACTTATGGATAGTTTGCATTAGTTATATGAAACAGTTGGTTGTGCATGTTTATAGAAACATCGTCTTTAGAAGCATAAGCATTTACAGCTATTCTTTAAGTTCTCATAAAAGAATTTTCAGCATTAGTGATGAGCTAGGATTCAGAAATGTGTTGTCAGTTTAATTGATCAGATTATAATACTTAGAACAATTAGAAATGAGTTATGCATGCATACATGGAATGATGGCCACACATAAAAGAATGTTCAATGGAATCATGTTGTTTTCTGTATTTAAAGAACCATTGCATGCCACTTGTGTTGACGAATGTTTTGCAAACTTCCCCCCTTTCCCCACTCACTGAGTTTCAGCTCACCCCTTTTTAAATGTTTTTCCCCCCCCACCAGGACCTCCTGAGCTCGTTGCCGAGCAGTGAGTCTCCGCTCAGGGTTGTGCCACGCATTGACATCTTTTATGTGGGTTTTATATTTATGTCGCATTGTAAAATTTGGACTTTCGTTTCAAGAACTCGTGTTTTCCTTCATGTATTTCCTTTTCTTACATATTTTGGAATGTGTAGTATAAGTGGAAAACCTGATACCACAAGTTTCCTTAACTCTTTTCTTTTGTAAAACGAAAGATGATGCATGTCTTTTTTTGAGATGTTGGAAATGGAAATACTATGATGTTATTCAGGAAAAGTATGTCTTTAAACAGTTTTCGCAGTTTTTCTACATGGCACGTCTCGGGTATCTGAGTCTTGTGGGAGCGCCCGGATCCTACGGGATGAGGAAATTCGGGACGGGTTGTGTCAACTTAGGCTGTCAAAACAGACAGTATCTTGACTGTGTTGGGTCGATAGTGGGCTGGGGTGTTACAGAATGGCTTCTGCAAAGTGAAGGAGAATCTCATATCCAAGAAGTTTTGTTGCTAATAAAGGCCATTTTTGTGTGTATACAATTGATAAGAAGAGGTTCATGGTTCTCTTGGAGTATTTGAGTCAAAATGTCCTCGTGGAGCTCTTGAGAATGCCCGAGGAAGGGTTTGGTCTTCCAAGCAATGGAACCATCACATTGTTCTGTGATAGTACCCTCTTGGAGTACGTCATTTCATTGGCCCGAGGTCACATGCCTAAAGAGTTAGAGAAGGCTTTACTAAGTTCTATAACAACATGTCACCACTCGGCATCATCTTCTCTTGTTCAAGGACTGAGTCATGAATTGAAAAGGAAAACAAAATAGGGTAGAAAAACAGAGAGTATTGAAGAGGAAGAAGAGAATGTGTTTTCTGTATTAATCCTTAACAGTAAAGTAGAGATTACAACTTTTTATATTAGGCTGCGGTACTAACTGATTTAATAGTAATTAGTTATATCATAATCCGTAAATTATACAGTTTTTATATGATCTCTTTGTCGGATTTCAATTACTTTCTAGTGCATTTCTACCTGAATTGGTGCGTAATTCTCTACTTTTCGTGTTTCAGGTTAAAATGGACTCTTTTAGCAAATAAAGGCAAAACTTGGCAGTTTTGACTCAGAATTGAAGGATTTCAGAAGATAAGAGAGTTCCGGAGTAGGACAATGCACGATGAAGCTTGTTTCCAAGGTGGAGAGTCGAAAATCGAAGAATCGGACGAAGAGGCAAGCAGAGTGGCAGTTCTGTAAATTTCAGAACTTTTGAAGAAGCTTCGCCCCGGCGAAGAAATTGTCTTCGCCGCGGCGAAGTTGGGCAGAGTCGAATGTGGATTTTTCATTCTTCGCCGCGGCGACAGTTAAAATTTTCAGTTTTGTAAACGCACAGTTTCGTGTGTGCGTGTTTTTGACTGGGTTTTTAGGACTAGGTATAAAAGAAAAACTTTAACTTTTTAGAAGGGGTTCCGAGCTGTTAGGTTAGCCGTCTTTGCATTTCCTAGAGAGAAAAAGCTGGATTTTTCGGATTGTTAGATAACAAGTTCAGATTTTGACTGGAAGAATTATCTTTTGGGGAGTTTTCTATTCTTTCATCTTAGTTTCATTATGTTTATTCTGTTTACTTGTATTTTCCGTTTTTATTCTGTTAAATTAGCTATGAACTAATCTTCTATGGGTTAGGGTTTTGATTGTAGTTTGGATTTGAAATGGGTTGAGTTTATGTTTGTGCTATTTTCATGTGAATAAGCTGTGGTTGTGTGTTACTCTGAAATTAATTGCTGTATGTGATGAACATGATGAGATTGAGAAATAATTCATGTTAAGCTTCATGGGTAATAACCATTATAGTATTGGATGCTAGAGATAGATTCAAGAACTAATGAAATCAATTTAGGATTCTTGTGCTTCATGTTTTAGAGTTATTAACCTTCAAATTGTTGGGTGCGGAATGTTAATAATGATAAATAGGAAAACATAGCCCGAGAGGGTATGTTATCATAGTAGTGAACCCGATTTACAACCATTGCATGTGAATGTGAAAATAGTGTAACTTTTAGGTATAACCCATAAATAATCCAAACGAAGTCAAAACCCTACCCGTTTTAATTAAATTGAATCTCTGAGTTCCATTTCCTTTTCTTTTTAAGAATTTATTACTTGTTAGATTTTATTTTGTTTTTCTTTCAATTACAAATTGCTCCCACAAATCCAAGATTTTCGATTACTTCAACTTGTTAACACCATAGGAATCTTAGTGCTTTGCTACCAGTCCTTGTGGGAACGATATCCTACCCATCACTCTATTACTTGAGCGACTAGTGCACTTGCTAGTTTTGCATGTTGTAAGAAACACGCATCATTATACAAGAAACAGCAGCGTATTAGTCAATATCAGATTTTGACTTTTACTTTATAGTCAACATGCTCCCTCAAACGTGACTGCACAAAACTTCAACACTACATAAACCTTCAACAGCTTTTCTTCCACACTTCAGCAGCTTTTCTTCCATCCTTCTTGTACTTCAATATGGTCCGTCAAACATAATTGCATAAAACTTCATCATTGATTTACTAATCTGTGATTACTGAGCAATACTAATCTGTGACTGCATAAAACTTCATCATGGCTGTACTAATCTGTGATTACTGATCAGCACTAAAAAATGCTTGTTGCAAGTGTAGTTAATACAGTTGGAGCTAAAAAAAAAATCAGAATTAGAACAACAAGCTGTTGACCGCAAATAGCAATCTTCCCAGCTGCAGTCTTCACCAAGTATACTGACATTCAACTTTGCCCTTAGATCAGTGAATTGACCAACTGATAAAGCCTTTTTGAGAACATCAGCTATTTGTAACTTAGAAGGAACTTATTGAATGGCTACCTTTTTGGCTAAAACTTGCTCCCTAATGTAATGAGCATCAATTTCAATGTGTTTGGTCCTAGCATGAAACACAGGATTATATACAAGAGCTTTACTAACATTATCGCACTAAATGACTGGAGTAGTGTGAAAAACCAAGCCCAATTCAGTAAACAAACTCTCTAACCAAGCTACCTCTGTTGCCGTATGAACTAGGGCTCTATATTCAGCTTCAGTGGAGGAAAGAGCAACTACTTTCTATTTTCTAAAACTCCATTGAATCAAATTTGGTCCTAAATAATCACAATAACCACTGGTTGATCTCCGATCTTCAAGATTTCCACCTCAATCAGCATCAGCATAGCATTCAATATGTAATGCCTTTGCTGGTTTGAGAAATAAGCCATAGTGGATAGTACCTTTAATATATCGTAGCACCCTCTTGCAAGCTTGCCAGTGGAGTTCAGTGGGGACTTGTAAAAATTGACTCAGCTTATTCACAGTGAAACTTAGATCAGGTCTTGTAAGGGTCAAATATTGTAATGCACCAATCGTATTCCTATATAAACTAGGATTCTGAAATGGTTCACCATTGATTAAACTCAATTTTATCCCAACATTCATGGGAGTAGAGCAAGTATGTGCTTCCCTCATCTTGGTTTTAATAAGAAGATCAACAACTTATTTGGACTGCTTTAGATGAATACCAACAAATGTCCTAGTTGCTTCCAAACCGAGAAAGTATTTGAGTGACCCAAGGGTATTTAAAGCAAAATCATTGTTGAGATCTTTCATCAACTGAGTGATAAATATTGCATCTGAACTAGTGATTAGTATGTCGTCAACATACACAAGTACATAGGTAGAACCTGAAGCTTGCTGAAGAGTGAAGAGAATTGAGTCTGAAATAGAGTTTTGGAACCCTTTTTGCTGAAGAGCAGATTTCAACTTTTCAAACCATGTTCTAGGAGCCTGTTTAAGACATATAAGGCCTTATTTAACTTTCAAAGAACCTTTGGAAATGATTGATGTTCAAGACCTAGAGGCTGTTGCATAAAGACATTTTCTGTTAGTACCACATTTAAAAATGCATTATTGATGTCAATCTATTGAATATCCCAGCCATTTGTAACTACAATGGTTAGAATAATTCGTATAGTTGATGGTTTGATCACTAGACTAAAGGTCTCAAAGTAATCAAGGCCAGGGGTTTGTTGGAAACCCTTGGCAACCAATCTAGCTTTGTACTTCTAAAGAGAACCATCAGCATTGAATTTTGTGCAAAACACCCATTTATTTCTAACAACATTCATATCTGAAGATGAGGGTACAAGAGTCCAAGTATTGTTGTGAATAAGAGCATCAAACTTGCTTTGTATAGCAGCCTTCCAATTGCTACTGCTAAGTGCATTAGAAACTGACTTGGTTTCTGGTTCAGGAGCTTCAGACCCATCAACTAAGAAAGCTAGATGAATATCATCTGGATTGTGAGTTACCAACTATAATCGATTGCTAAGTGTATCAGAAACTGACATGAATTTTGGTTCAGGAGCTTTAGACCCATCAAGTGTATCAAAAACTGACTTAAATTTTTGCTCAGGAGTTGCAGACCTATCAAGTAAGTAAGCAAGATGAATATCATCTTGATTAGAAGTTTCCAATTGTAACCAAGCAGCTGATTTAGCTTTTGTAACCATGGGAGGCATGTTTGAAGATGCTAGAGCAACATGAGAAACAACAGAAGATGCATAGGATTTGTTAAGAGTTGAATTATCCAAAACACCTGTACTGACTGTGAACTAATCATGTGAACTATGTTGTGATTCAAAACACCTGTTATATTAAGGAACTGAGAAGTAGTAAGATCAACAACAAGCTGACAGGGTGACAGAGATAAGGTCTTAGTGTTTATAGGTTGATTTGGACATGGTGAGATGGATGAGTGGTTAGTTGAAAAAGATTTGTGTTTAGTGTCAGTATTTGGAGTGGTAATGGGAGAAAAAATACTGGTTTGATTATCTAAGGATTGAATATGGGTTTTGGTACAAGGAGAGGTAGCTGTTTTGTTAGAAAATTGGGAAGATGTGAGATCAACTATAAGTTGACAAGGTTGTAAAGATGAGGCTGTAGTGTTTGTGTTAGTGGTATGGGGAGAATTTTGTTGAATGGTATCAGTGGATATCATATGGTTAAGAGAAGAATTCTTACCATTTGTTGCATGAGCTGAGCAGGACTTATCCAAGGAGCAAGGGACTGTAGGTGAAGCTATGCTAGTTGATGGTTGAAGAGAATTGGAAGTGACCATAGGAGGAAAGAATGAAATTTTCGTGGTGGTTTGAGTGTCTAGAGTGGAGGACTAAGTTTGAGATGAAGAGCTTGGAGTAGTGAGGGCGAAGGGAAACTCAAACTCGTTAAATTGAACATTAGGAGTAATGACAATCTATCCATCAGGTTTTAAACACTTATATCCTTTGTGGATTAGGCTGTAGCTTACAAAAGTACACTTGACCGTATGGAAATCAAACATGTGCTTGTTAAAGCTCCTAAGGAAAGGCAAACAAGAACATCCAAAAACTCTTAAGCTATCATAAATAGGAACTGGATGAAATAATGCTTGATAGGGTGAAATGTTATGAAGTGTGGCAGTAGGCATTCTATTTATGAGATAAACAGCTATCTCAAAAGCAAGCCACCAAAATTTCAAGGGCATAGATGCATGAGCAAGGTGTGTAAGACCTAACTCTACAATATGTCTATGCTTTCTTTCACTCCTACCATTTTGTTGATGAACATATGCACATGAGTATCTAACTTGAATACCTTGTTCAGTTAAGTATGGAAGAAAAGCCTTATATTCATCTCCTTGGTTAGATTGCAAGCTTTTAATTTTACAATCAAATTGTCTTTCAGCAAGATGATGAAATTTGATAAGAATTGGCCTTACTTCAGCTTTGGTTTTGAGAGGGAATAGCCATGTAAACCTACTGTAGTCATCTAGGAACTTAATATAGTATCTAAAACCTTTAACTGAAATGCAAAGGGCTGGACCCCAAACATCACTATGTATTAATTCTAAAGGGGTAATGGCATGAGACTGTGAAATGGGAAAACTGTTTTGGTGCAATTTGCATAATTGGCAAGCATCACAAAAGGTAAGGTTAGAACTAGATGAGGTGTTTAAGTTGGAGGGAAATTTGATATGCAGGTCTGATAAAATTTGTTGCTGGATTTTGGAGTTTGGATGTCCTAACCGTTTGTGCCATAGACCATAATCAGAGTCATGGGTGTTGGAAATTAAATAAGACGTCATTTCTATGTGAATGAATAGATGTAGTAAAAATAGTCTCATTCATAGAAGCATCGGAACTTAAGCAGGATGAAATAACATTAGCAGAAGCTTGTGAACAATCAGATGGAGGAAATGTAGTAGTACTATCAAAAATCATAAACCTATCATCCTTAGTTTTATTATCAATAGAAGAGATACATTGAGAACCATTGGTGACACAGGACTCACTCAATACAGGTTGATAACAGCTTTCATTATTCAACACAACAGATGAAACATCAGATGGACCTTTAAGGCAACTATTTGACTCTAAAGAACTAATTGTCTTATTACAGCACATGGAATGATTCTGAGAATCAAAGCAGACTGGTTTGATGTTGGTAACAGAGTTAATAGAGGCTAGTTGAGAAGAAATTTGATTTTTGGTCATAAAGGGGCTGGAGGAGGTCTGAATGGGGAGATAATTTAGCTGGTACAAGCCACCTTTAAGGTCTCCTTGCAACAACATTGCTCCTGTGGACTTGTCCTTTACAATACAACAATTAGCATCAAATTCAACTATCACATTGTTATCTTTGGTAAACTTGGAGATGCTTAACAGGTTTTTTGTGATTTTAGGAACACAAAGAATATCTTTAAGATGCAAGCATTTAGAGTACAGGTTACTAGGAATAAAGGTATGACCTGTATGAGAAATGTTGAGATACTCACCACTCCCAACCTAAAGTTGATCACCTCCATTGTAGTTCTTACTAATATGCAGGTGGTTCAAATCTACAGTGACATGATCAGTAGCCCCAGAGTCCATATACCACATTGGATCAGTTGGGGTTAGTGATGTTGCAAGAGTGAACTGCTGATTCTATTGTGTGAGGAGTGTTGCTGCTGTATTGTTATGATGTAAAGATGGTATGTCAACAGGATGTGAGTAAGTTGTAGATCCAGCAGATGCAAAATGAGCTGGACTTGAACCAGTAGGCTGCTGGCTAGGAACTCCAAATGTAGAAGTGTTGACAACATTAGGAGAAAGATGAACACCAGTTTGAGCCCCATATTGTGTATTGTGTGCTTGTTGAGCACTAGTTGATTGATTGTAAACACCACCAACACCATTGAAATGAGCAGGACCATTTCCATTAAAAGGGGCAGAACCATTATAGGACATTTGAACTCCGCTAGTACCATTGAAGTTAGTAGGACCAGTATAAGAAAATTGACCTCCCCCATTACTATTGAAAGGAACAGAACATTATAAGAGTGTCTACTTGGTAAGTGAGGAGTGGAGTCTTCATAGTAAGATGGTACATTACCAAAAGAAGGTTGTATTGCTCTGATACCATGAAAATGAAAACAAAATAGGGCGGAAAAACAGAGTATCTAAGAGGAAGAAGAGATTGTGTTTTTAGTATTGATCCTTAATAGTAAAGTAGAGATTACAACTTTTTATATTAGGCTACGACACTAACTGATTTAACAGTAATCAGTTATACAAGAAATGGCAGCTTATTAATCAATACCAGATTTTGACTTTTACTTTATAGTCAACATGCTCCCTCAAACGTGACTGCATAAACCTTCAACATTGCATAAACCTTCATCAGCTTTTCTTCCACACTTCAGAAGCTTTTCTTCTATCCTTCTTGTACTTCAATGTGAACAAACACTTATATTTGGATACTGAAAAGATCTTGAAAACAAGGACTCTTTTACACTTAAGATTGTTAACAGATGATGTAATATAATTTCGCACATAGACTTTGATTTTGTAAATGCAAAAGAAAATATAAACATTTTCACTTTCATGAACTGTTGTGTTCTTTATGGACCGTGCTAATTTTACGTACAGAATTGAGGGAAAAAAATATCTAGTACTAGTATATAAAATCACAGCCTACAATGTTGAAGAAATGTCTTTTCATTTTATCCATTTAACATATGATTGAATTTCTAGAGATCTAGTTATTCAATAACTTAAAATTAAGTTCATGAGATTCAGAAAGTAGGCTGGACAAAAATAGTGAATTATGAAGACAAATAAAAAGCAACTAGGCACAAATTAGTTCATGTGGCATTCTTAGTAAAGTAGGCCCCTAAACATGTCCTTGGAAAAAAGATCTATAAGAGACCTTAAAGGGCTCACGAGGAAAAATATCCCTGCAGGACCAAGTATTTTATTATATGACACCAAAAACATTGGAATAAACAATTTTACTTCATCACAGTTACTGTGAACGCTTTGTTTGAATAAAATTCTTAACCTTCATTGAAGGATTGTTCACTTCCTGTTAGTTCCTTTTAGTTTATATCTATTCTTGTTATTCTTAGAGAGATTATAACTGTCACGAAATTGATGGAAGCTACTGTGTCCTTTAACCACAGAACAGAAAGGATGTGCTCTCCTATGACAAGTCAATTCAAACATCTATTCCTATATAACTAACTGCTTGGAGTCTCTAGTTACCAGAGCTTATGAAAATCATCAAATGATATATTATTTCATTTTGTTGGTCATTCTAGCATAAGGATTAGTTGTATTTCATTATCACATAGTTTTAAGTAGCCCAAATCGTTCATGCAAAACTTTGTTAGCAGAAGAAGACAAATGCATAACAAGTGACTAGGCCTCATAAGTTTTGAAGTATCTCTGCTTTGAGGATCACGTGGCGTTGATGATGTAGGTGATAATCTGCTAGAAATGGGACAACCTTTCAGGTGGATATTCAAATATGTTTTGGAGCCAAAGTTACAGCTCATGTTTATTTTGTTAATTTTGCAGTGGTTGTGGAGTAGATATTTAGCCATTTAAATGCAGATTTTGTGTCTTGTTTAGTTGAGACTTAGACTTGATTAGGTGCATGTTTTCTGCTAAAGTTGATTTGTAATAGGTTTATTATATTGCAGTAGGTAATACAATGTTAAAAAGGTCTGTATAAATGACTCTGTTTTATGAATGAAATACATAGACTAAGAAGTGTCTTTTTGCCGTCTCCTTCATTTGCAAATATTCATCCTTTATTTTTGGACTTCTCTTCCAAGAACCAACAAATGGTATCAGAGCTTCATTGATCTTAAGGGCCTGATAATCTCATCTTTTCTTCTACATTTTCTCAACCCCTGTTACGTATAAATCAGTTCCATGCATCACACAAACTGACTCAATGGCACAACCTTCAACCTCTCTATCTCCTCCAACCTTCAATGGGGATCAATATTGATGCGTGTTTCTTACAACATGCAAAAATAGCAAGTGCACTAGTCGCTCAAGTAATAAAATGATGAGTAGGATATCGTTCCCACGAGGATTGTTAGCAAAGCACTAAGTTTCCTAATGTTATCAAGTTGAAGCAATCGAATTCTTTGGATTGATGGGAGCAAATTTTAATTAAAAAAACAACAATGAATTTAAACAAAGATTTAAAACTTAATTAAGAAAGCAAAATGAAAACACGGAATATCAATTCAAGCAAAACGGGTAGGGTTTTGACTTCGTTTGGATTTTTATGGGTTAAACCTAAAAATTACACTATATTCACATTCATGCGCAATGGTTGTAAATCGAATTCACTAATATGTTAAACATACCCTCTCGGGCTATGTTTTCCTATTCATCCTTATTAACCTTCCGCACCCAACAAATTGAAGGTTAATAATTCTAAACTCATTAAGCATAAGAATCCTAATATGATTTCATTAATTCTTGAATCTATCTCTAGCATCCAATACTATAATGGTGATTACCCAAGAAGCCTAACATGAATTATTTCTCAATCTCATCATGTTCATCACATACAACATTCAAAATCAGAGTAACACACAACCAAAGCATATTCATATGAAAATAACATAATCAAACACTTAACCCATTTAAAATCCAAACTACCATCAAAACCCTAACCCAAAATAGATTAGTTCATAACTAAATCAATAATACAAAAATGAAAAACAGAAATAAACAAGTTCAACATAATGAAACTGAGATGAAAGATAAGAAATCTCCCCAAAAGATGAATCCTTTAGTCAAAGTCCGAATCTTCTCCCTTTAACAAACCAAAAAGCTTAAAGTTTTACTCAGAAAAATGTAAAAGTAGGTAATCCTAAAAAGATGAAGACCCCTGGGAAAAAGGCTAAGTTTCTCTTTTATACTTAGTCCAAATAACCCAACCAAAACACGCACAACACGAAACTGTGTGTTTAACAAAACTGAATAATATGACTGTCGTCGCGGCTAAGAATGAAGCAGACACATTCGTCCCTGGCTTACTTCGCCGCGGCGAAGACAATTCCTTCGCCGGGGCGAAGCTTCTTGAAAAGTTCTAAAATTATAGAACTGCCACTTTGCTTGCTTCTTCGTTCGATTCTTCGATTGTCGGTGCTCTTCCTTGGGAACAAGCTTCATCGTGCTTTATCCTGCTCCGGAACTCTCCTATCTTCTGAGATCCACTAATTTCTGAGTCAAAATTATCCAATTTTGTCCTTATTTTCTCAAAATGTCCATTTTAACCCGAAACACGAAAAGTAAAGAATTAAGCAACAATTCAGGTCAAAATGCACTAGAAAGTACCTGAAATCCGACAAAAAGGTCTAATAAAAACTGTATAATTTACGAATTATCATATAACATTTGGGCTATCAAAATGAAAATGTTCCTGAGAGGACAAGGATTATGGCAGTATGTTTAAGAGGATAAACAGCCACTTGCACTGGGGCCAAACCCCACATTGAACCAGATTAGAGTACATGATGAAGAAGCCACCAAATCACCTAGAGCCTTGTCCCATATCCATGCAGCAGTGACTGAGCAAGTATTCACTAGAATCATGGCATATGAGTCAGCCAAGGAAGCATGGGATAAACTCAAAGAAGAGTTCGGTGGTAGTGATACAACAAAGGGTATGTAGGTGCTAAACTTGAGGAGGGAGTTTGAGATGCTGAAAATGCAGGAGTCTGAAACCGTAAAAGAGTATGTGGATAGGTTGATGAATGTGGTAAACAAAATCAGATTAATGGGAGAGGAGATGACAGATAAAAGGATAGTTGAAAAGGTTCTTGTTAGTCTACCCGAAAGGTTTGAATCTAAGATATCCTCACTTGAGGATTCTTATGATTTGACACAAATCACCCTCACTGATTTGGTGTATGCCCTGCAAGCTCAAGAACAAAGGAGATTGTTGAGGCAAGGGGACACTACTGAAGGTGCAATGGTGGCTGGATTCAAAGGTAAACCAGGCCAGAGTGGAAGCAAAAGACCTGCAGGAGAAAAGAAAGGAAAGGAGAGAATGGGAAACCAGTGGAATAAACCGACTGGAGGGAAAGAATTTCCACCATGTGCTCACTGCAAGAAGAAGGGGCATAGTGAAAAGAGGTGCTGGTTTAGGCCTAATGTTCAGTGTATATCATGCAAGCAATATGGTCACATTGAAAAGGTATGTAAAAGCAAACCAACTCAGTCAACACCGCAAGCTCAGATTGTGGAGGACCAGCAGCCAAACTTAGATCCAGAGCAGTTGTTTGTGGCCTCATGCAGTGTTGTTCAAGCTCAAAATGATGATTGGCTGATAGATAGTGGTTGCACAAATCACATGACAGCAAACTTGGAAGACTTTGTGAATTTGGACAAGTCTTACCATTCCAAGGTTAAGGTTGGTAATGGGGAATTTGTAGCTATGAAAGGGAGAGGAGGTGTTGCTGTACAAACAAAATCAGGTATCAAACTCATTTCCAATGTCTTGTATGTGCCTAGTTTAAGTCACAATCTCTTGAGTGTTGGTCAAATGATGGAGAGGAAATATGCCCTGCATTTCCAAGATC